GCTAAATTAGGGACGGCTAGCGCAGATAGCCCTCGTGTAGCTTTGCGCGAAATTCAAAACAAACAAACAAATTCTTAAACTTATCCTCAAATGTCAAGCTAAACAACTATTGACAAAACAAATTGTAAACCTAGTCTATCAGCATATATATATAGAAAAAGGAAGGTAGGTCTTACCCCATTTTTATCAGGGGTGAACTGAGAATGTTTGTTTATTGTTGTTGTTTTTTTAATTTCGCGCAAAGCTGCAAAAGGGCTATCTGCGCTAGCCGTCCCTAATTTAGCACTGTAAGACTAGAGGGAAGGCAGCTAGTCAGCACCACCCACCGCCAACTCTTGGGTTACTCTTTTACCAACGAATAGTGGGATTGACCGTCACATTATAACGTCCCCACGGCTGAAAGGGCGAGCATGTTTGGTGGGAATGAGAGTGAACATGAAATGTAAAACATGTTAGTGAAGTGATATTTACTGACGTCATAGGTATTTATAACATCTTCCTCTATTATCTATCACTTTAAACTCAAGACTATGGTCGATCCAAAACTATTTTCATTTTTACTCCAAACTCAACAATCGTTTAAAACAAATTTTATTGAAATTCTGGTTGTTTCCTTCCGGAAAAAACAACAACAACACAAAAGTGAAAGTGAGTTATTTATATGGCTACACAAAATGGTTATCATCGTTGTCGTATAGCAGATCTGTATGTTCATGAAAAATACCGACACTTTTGTGGTATCCATTAGTGCTGTATTATTAATACCAGAAAAGGCAGTAATTCCCACCAGTAGCTCCAATAACTTGTTCAGATTGATTCACTTGCTTTTATCATATGTACAAAAAACACATTTTTGACAGCAATACAAAACACCTTACAAATCACAAGGGAACACAGTAATTTTTACTCAATACGCACATGTTGAGCGTAATGAATTTTTTTAAATTATATAAAGGTATATAATACGTCATATTAACAAGAGAATGCTTCAATTGTTACAATATTTCGAACTTTTCACTAAAAGGGCCAGCATTTTGATAACATTTGAGACAGCTGTTATCAGTTTCATATCGAGGCAGCAAAGATAATATGTGGACAGCACTTGTCACCAAAGAACAGCGGAGGAGAGACGCTCTTAGATCGATTTTTAGACATAAGCAGTGACCGAAAAAATAAGTATTTTATTATACATACATGTAAAATTAAGAACATAACTAAACTCAGCTACCATAGTTTTTCAGCGAGGGAGAGAGGCTCTTGGATCGATTTTTAT